CTTGGTATCTGGTGGACCTAATTTGGTCAGAGTTCCTTATATATTAGTGTTATCTTCTATTAAAAGAAGGATAATTTAGTCATTTGGTACATAAAAAGGGTTATTTTTTAAAAATAGACAGCCAAAGAGGGCATTTTTGAAAAGGGGTATTGAAAAAAAGGCATTTTTGTGAGTCTCCCATAAAAATATGTAGTATATTGTTTCACTTTAAATTTTATTTTCTTATCTAAAATTTTACATATAGAATTACATAAATTTATTTTTATTCTACCATATATTTGAAATGGACTTCCATTCTAAATCTCATTAACACAATTAAAGATTTGAAGTATGATCATTTGTAAATTTTATCTATTAAGTGGAAGTATATTATTACCACTAATAATATTTTTAGGAAGACTCACAAAAATGCCCCTTTTTCAATACCCCTTTTCAAAAATGCCCCTCCCTAATAGCTTCTCTGAAATTGACCATTTTACCTTTAATGAGGCTTTGACCTAAAAGACAAAATTGGGGAACGACGAACCAAAAATCTCGGCGACTCTCATCACCTTCACCGCCGACGAACAAAAAGTCAATCTTAGATCTGTCGATATCTTCATCTTAGATCCGTCGAGTTCAATCGAGTTCAATCGAGTTCAATCGACGAGGATCAATCGAGTCTGTAATCAAAAATCTGTGACTCATCCCAATCTGCATCAATTAGGTTCGAATCGCCTCTGAAATCTGAACCGTTTAGATCCAAAAGTTCATCGAATTCGTCTTCAAATCTGAATTGATTAATTAAGAGCTTCGATTCTGTGTTTATCTATTTTCTCGAATTTGTCTTGCTTGAAAATTATAATTCGTGTTACCTTTAAAAACTTTCTAAAACCATTGTAAAAATTTCTTTTTCATCTTCTCACTGTATTTATGTTCTTCCGTAACTATTGTACACTATTAGTGAAATAATTTTGATTTACCATGTTTTTTGTGAAGATTGTAAACCTTTAAAAAATATTGTAAAACCATGAAGAACTTTATAAATACCTTGTGAACTATCATAAAGATACATATGTTTAACATTATAATACATTGTCTTTTTTATCAGGTCGTAATGATTGAGTTGAATTGCATATGTGGTGTTTGGAAGTTGAAAAATAACAATTGTTGGGATTTTAAATTTGATGTTGAAAGAGGAGGGTCTCTTACTTTTATTAATGAGGATACGTGTTTCACTAATTTGTGTGCTGTTGTTATAGAAGATTTTGGAATTGATGTGGGTATTAATATAGTGAAACTCATTTATTCATTACCCTCTACAAAAGACATGCCTCCTATGTATATTAAAAATGATAGGCAAGTGCAAGCATTTATGAAAAAGCTTGCGGAATTAAGAGGCGCTATTCAGCTATGTGTAACTGTTGAGAAGGTATTTTACCAACATTCAATTTTGTAAACTGGTTTAACAAATTTGTAAACAGTTTTAATAATCTTTACAGGGGAAAACAAGCACTAATCCAATGATGGGGACAAGCAACATCTCAATTAGTAGTAATAGCAATACAGATCCTTATTCTACATATCAAGTCATGAATGAGGTAAAACAGTAAAGAAACCTTGTAAATTAGTAAACAAATCATTAAAATAGCTTGTAAATAAGTTAACAAAGATTCAAAATAACTTGTAAATTTGCAAAAATTATATTACAGGTACAAATGTATTCTGCACCAGCTAATGTAACTAATGTTCTGGCTCCTACATATCATGTCATGAATGAGGTATTTAAAAGTCCTTGTAAAACATTTCAATTCTTTGTAAATCAGTAAACAAAACTTTTAAAAAACTTTGTAAAACCCTTTTAAAAACCTTGCTCCTATAACTATTGTTTCAGCTCCTGCATGTCATGTCATGAATGAGGTATTTTCAATTCCCTTACAAATTCTTTGAAAATCAGTAAAAAAATCTTTTTAAAATACCTTGTAAAACCTTTTTAAAAACCCTTTTTAGTTCACCTTTTAAGATAACTTGTAAATCCTTTTAAAATACCTTGTAAAACAATTTAAATCCAAAACTTAAAGATTTTTTTTTGCTTTTGCAGATGAGATTTGACTCAACCATCCCGGAGAGGGTTAGAACTGAAACGGAATCCTTCTCTAATATATCTGAAGGTCCAGCTCCTGTAGGTGGTTCTACTTTTTCTGCATCTTCAAATACTTTGTATTGTGGAAAGTTGTTCAAGGACAAAAAGGAAACGGGAAGGCGGATGCAGTTATTTTTAATGGAGAATAACTTCGAGTTCCGGACTAAGAAATCAGACTCAACACGGTATATTCTTCGTTGCATTGATGAAAAATGTAGTTGGAGGTTACGTGCAACTAGGGTTAAGGCATCAGATAGTTTTATTATTAAAAAGTATGTTAGTGAGCACTGTTGTGATTCTTCGCTAAGGAAGGTTAATCATCGCCAAGCAACTTCTAGGACATTAGGAGAAATGGTAAGTAATCATTTTCGTGGAGAGAAGCTTGCGCTTAAACCTAAACAACTGATAGAAAAATTCAGACACGACAATGGGATTGGAGTTTCTTATTCAAAAGCGTGGAGAGCTAAAGATCATGCAATCGATGTTGCTAGGGGTACACCTGATGATGGTTATGAGTTCTTGCCAATGTGGATGTACATGGTAAATGAGAAGAATCCTGGTTCTGCAACCTTCATTGAGGTCGATCCTGACAATAAATTTAAGTACGTATTTCTTGCTTTTGGTCCGTCAATTAGAGGGTTTAAGTTGATGAGAAAAGTGATTTGTATTGACGGTGCTCATTTGAAATCAAATTTTAAAGGGACTTTGCTTGGTGCCTCAGCACAAGATGGTGACTTTCATTTGTATCCTATTGCATTTGGCGTAGTTGATTCAGAAAATGATGCTTCGTGGGACTGGTTTATGAAGTGTTTGAAGAAAATTATCCCGGATGAACCTGATATAGTTTTTGTGTCAGATCGTGCATCATCAATTGCCAATGCTCTTATTGTTAATTATCCACTTGCTCATCATGGGATCTGCATTTTTCATTTGGAGAAAAACCTTGAGACTGGGTTTAAGTCATCCTCTACGCTTATTCCAGTTATGAAAGATGCAGCTTATGCTTACACAAGGTTTGATTTTGAACATTTGTTCTATGAACTGTCTCTTGCTGACAACAAGATGGCACAGTATCTGTGGGATTTGGATGTAAAAAAATGGTCACGTGCTTGTGCATCTGGCAATCGCTACAACATTATGACATCAAACTTAGCTGAGTCTTTGAATTCTCTGTTGAAAGAAAGCCGTGAGTATCCAATTGTCTGTTTGTTTGATACAATTAGGTCTACTCTTACCAGATGGTTCAATGAACGACATGAGAAGGGTACTCGTAATAGGCACTCAGTTACTGTGAATGTGATGAAGCAAGTAAAGACACTGTATGATTCTACTGCACGATGGCTTGAAGTGTCACAAGTGAATCAACACGTGTTTGAAGTGAAAGGAGGTACGTTGGTTCATGTTGTGAATTTGGAAACAAGAGACTGCACGTGCTGTGTGTTCAATATCACGAAAATCCCGTGTGCTCATGCAATAGTGGCTGCAAAAATATTAACGAATATGATTATGTTGATACCTTATACTCCAACAAAAGGTATGTCATATTCTAACTTTACAGGTATGTTACTATATAAAACAAGTTATAAAACTGTATTTTAAATTTTTTTATAACCATTAAAAAACCTTGTAAATCAATTTCTTATCAATTTCTTATCAAAACCATTAAAAAACCTTGTAAAATATTTTGAAAACATTGTGAAACCCTTATCATGTCTTGTAAAAACTTGTTCAACCTCTAAAAACCTTGTTAGACCTAAAAACACCTTGTGATTGTCTTGCAAACCTTTAAAAACTCTTACAATTTTTTAAAAAATTACATCTTTGTTTGACAGGTGGACGCTAGCATATTCAGAGAGTATATATCCCGTTGGTGATAGGACACAATGGGAGGTTCCAGCCGATGTTGCTGCTTTTGTTTGTCGACCACCATCTTCTCGTGTTCCTAGTGGCAGACCTAAGAAAAAGAGAATACCTAGTGGATGGGAGCATGGAAAATCTGCAACAAATTACAAATGTCGTCGGTGTGGTCAAAATGGACACAACAAAAGTAGTTGTGTGGCTCCAATATAGTTTTATTTTATTTTATTACATAACATATTAAGTATTTTGTGACTTTTTTAAAAAATATTATTAAAAACTTTCATAACTTGGTTATAAAACCTTTTTTACGTTTATTCTTGGAGAAAGGTGTTACTAGGTTTTCAAAAAGTTGTTACACTTGTAAGATCTATATAAAATCTTTTTAAAACCCTTGTAAAACCCTTTAAAACACTTTAAAAAACCTTGTAAAACCTTATAAAACTCTTGTAAAAACCTTTTAACCTACAAAAAGCCTTGTAAAACACTTTAAAAACACTTTTTAACCTCTTTTAAAACCATTATAAAATCCTTGTAAAAACGTATTAACCTATAAAAACCCTTGTAAAACCCTTATAAAACCCTTTAAAAAACTTTAAAAACCATTGTAAAAACCTTAAAACCTCCTTATAGAAATAACATCATAAATCTTTTAAAGCCTTGTAAAACCCTTATAAAACACTTGTATTAACCTATAAAAACTCTTGTAAAAACCTTTTAACCTACAAAAACTCTTGTAAAACCCTTTAAAACACTTTAAAACCTCTTGTAAAACCCTTATAAAAATCTTGTAAAAACGTATTAACCTATAAAAACCCTTGTAAAACCCTTTATAACACTTTGAAACAAGCTAGATATAAATTGCAATAGTTAACAATATTCTTCATCTAATAAACTGTTCCATAAACATATTCGTTATCACTGTTTTACAAAATAACATACTGGTTTAAAAGATACCTACAATAAGAAAGGAACTTATGTTAACTACATTCTTTCACACTTTCTTTTTCTTGATGTAGGTATCCCATTCTTGCTGCAAAATAAGTTTATAAAAAAACAAATAAGAAACGATTCAACATAAAAAAATTGTTTTCGCATTTATTTTGAAAAACTGTTTTAAACTAACCTTTATTACGCTGAAAAGTCTTGTTGCCAGATACTTCTGTTCGGTGCTAGCTCCATGTTGTTTGTCTGGATGTAAAGTAAGCAGTGCTTTACGTTTTGCTAAATCTATCTCATTGTCATTGTTTAGCAAATCGAAGTGATGAACAGTCTCCCATGAACTATTGGACCAAATAATCTGTAATGTATAATATATTTCGTTACTTTTTGTAGTTATGAGAAAAATAACAAATTATTATAAGATTACCTGGTGAAGTGATGACATCATAAAAATGAAGTTCTTGTTTTTAGCCCAGAGTATGACCCTATTATCAATTTCCTTCTGTTCTATTTCACTTAGTTTTCGATCTTGGACAGTAAATGACACCATGAAAATATTAGATGTTCCATTTTATTATTAAAAAAACATCATTTTTAACAAAAAAAAATAATGGTGTACCTGAATGTTCCTTCTTTAGCCGAGCTTCTTCTTCCTAGAGAAATAAATTAGCAAAATACAGAAGTCCATGAAAACGTCTTATTATAATCATTTAAATACGTACTAAAACCTTGTAAAAAACGTTGTAAAACTTATAAAAATAATTTTGTAAATTATTATGATTTAACTAATGCATACCTTATCATTCACTTTCGATTGTTGTGAATCACTCTCTTGTGACGGCTCCTCTGTGTGTCCCATCTTGTTATGTTGTGCCTCTTCTGTTTGAGCAACCTATAAATAAGTTGTAGAAACATTTGTCATCCTATAAATAAGTTGTAGAATCCTTTAAAAAATGTTGTAAACATTGCAAAAAACTTTTTTATAAATCTTATTCATTAATGCATATATACCTTATCATTCACATTCGGTCGTTGTGAATCACTTTCTTGAGTTCCCTGTGGAGCCCCATCCATGTTTCTCATCTCTTCATGTTGTTTCTCCTTTTTTTGAGAAACCTATAAATAGTTTAAAATAGGTTGTAAATTTTTTATAGAAACTTTTAAATAAGTTGTAAAATCCTTTAAAAACGTTGTAAATCTTCTAAAGCATACCTTATCATTGACATTCGAGCATTGTGGATCGCTTTCTTCAGTAGCATGTGGAACCTCATCCGTGGCTCCCTCTTCTTGAGCAACCTATAAATTTAAAAGACATTTTAAATCACTACAGATATTCTTTATAAAAACCAATCAGATTCATTTAGTTACATACCTTTTCATCATTCACATTCTCGTGTGAATCTTCATCAGGTGGACTGCATGATTCTTCTCTGGTCTCTGTTTAAATAAGTTGTAAAATCCTTTAAAAACGTTGTAAATCTTCTAAAGCATACCTTATCATTGACATTCGAGCATTGTGGATCGCTTTCTTCAGTAGCATGTGGAACCTCATCCGTGGCTCCCTCTTCTTGAGCAACCTATAAATTTAAAAGACATTTTAAATCACTACAGATATTCTTTATAAAAACCAATCAGATTCATTTAGTTACATACCTTTTCATCATTCACATTCTCGTGTGAATCTTCATCAGGTGGACTGCATGATTCTTCTCTGGTCTCTGTTTGTTTGTTTTCTTGATTGTTGATTGGTATTTCAACCTCTTCTTCATCATCCCTGGCAACTCCACTTGACGAAGCTGGGAATTCTGTTTCTTCAACATCCCTGGCATCAGGTGCTTTGATCCCTAAATGTTTCTCCACCACCAACATTCTCTTGTTCAATTCTAAACATGACTTGTAGATCAAGTCTAGTGTTTCACTATCAGACATTGATTTCCTTGGTTTTGTCTGATTTACAGTCTCAGACTTTGGTTGCCTTTGTCTAGGCTGATTCACAGGCTTTTACGTTTTCCATTCTGCAACCTCAATCCATCCTTGAATCCATTGTTGCCTGGTCATCCTATAACCTTGGACTACAAAGTCAAAGACTTCAAACCAGTCCTTGTCTTCTGGATTTGGGGGGAGAACCAAATGAGAATATTGTTCAAGATCGCCAATGATATGTTTAATATCAAACTGCATAAAAAAGAATATGAATTTAAGTTAGAAATGTGATCCACAATTATTTCATAAAGCATTTACTATCTATTTTAAAGGTTTTACAATCTGTATTAAAGCTTGTAAAAACTTTTAAAATATCTTGTAAAACCTTTCAAAATGTCTTGTAAAAATCTTGCCATTTTTTTAAAACCCTTGTAAACTTCTTAAAATTCTTGTATAAGAAAGTAAAACAATTGTAAACCTTATTAGTTGGAAAAAAGTAGTAGAGAAAAACTGTCATACCGTTGCAACCTGTGTAACGTTTGCTATATCTTTCTTAGTTGGGCATTTTGTTGTCATCCATTGTGAAATCAGTGGACGATTGTCGTTGGGTTCTAGGACCCGACTGCCAAAATTCTGTCCCAACTCTGCAACTGCGGTTAAAGCCCAAATCTGGATTGCAAAAACAAACCCAGGAAGCCCACATTGGTCTCTAAACAATTGAGTCGGAGTTATCTTCTTCAAGCAATCCACCAAAGACCCGTAAACAATGCGAGCCCACGGATACTTGCAGAACTCTGTGAAACTACTAGCTCTTACCAGATGTTCTTTCTCTATCTTGTTTACAGGGTTTGAAGCAATTAAGATGCCCTCCACTAGAATCAGAGCACCTAACCTAACCCTCTCATCAGGATCCATCGCATTGCCTTTTGTAGACAAGGTATTAAGGAGATCTTTCAAACTTAAACCAGCCGTCATCCATGTATCTTCTTTCTTTCTCTTTTTTCCTCTTGACTGGCTTTGTGATGCATCATCACCCAAAGGCAGCCTTGTAGTAATAACAAACTCCCTTAGAGAAAATCTGAGGGGTTGTTCTGAGAAGACAAACCACAACTCCTCATTGTTAACCATTATTCTTTTCTGAAGAAAGTGATGGACCAGCTGTGATGAGAAACAGATCCCTTCACGTTCCGCAAAATCTATGATTGGTCCCAAGAAAGAATTCTGAATCTGATTGAACTCAGTGGGACTAAGTGAATCCTTGACAACCTTCAATAAAAGTTTCTCTGAAGAATACTTTGATATTCTTTTCAAATTATCCACCTCATTCCATGGGTCAATCAGTCTTTTTGGGAGAAACGGCCTCTTTGTAGGTTGACTCATTTTTCACCCTGTTGCAGGAAAGATAGAAAAACAATTAAAACATCTCCATCAAAAAGCATTCTCAAAAAAATCAAACCATTTACAACCCCTTTGTAAGCTTTTAAACTGCTTGTAAAACAGCTTTAAGAGCTTTAAAAACGCATGTAAAATTAAATCATGTAAACGAACAACTCTAGAAATGCAAATAGAGTAGTACATTGCAAACATCATTATCTACTTGGAAGCTTTGTGAAAAGTGAAAAGTCTCATCAATACTCAAAAACATTCTCAGAGAATCAAACCATTTAGATCCCTTTTGAAAACCATTTAAATTGCTTGTTAAATCGATTGTAAAAGATTGTAAAACAAAGGTAAAATTAATTGAATTTCTAGAGTCCTTTTAAGTCCTTGTAAGAATAAAAACTGATCTACAAAAAAAATCACAAAATCTCAAAAATCATCCAATGTCACAAAAACTCGATTTTGAAGGGGAAATAACCTAATTTCGCATATGAATCAAAAAAGTAACGAAGTTTTAAAGTAATTTAACCGTAAAATCGACTGATGTGACGGAACCCAAAACCCTAGGCAGATGATATCGAAGAAGCCGAAAAGTCGAGATTGAACCTTATGAAAACGGAGAAGCCGAGATTGAACTTTATGAAAACGGAGAAGGCGAAAGTGTAGAATCTAAAGCCGTGAAGCTAAGCGAAAACCCTTAATTTCTTCTTCTTGTACTCAACGGAGAAGGAGACTGAGAGAATCGGTTTTTTTCCCCCTTCTATTTTTTTTTTTCTCTATCAAACGGTTGTTTTTGGGTTTTAAAGTGTTTTAAAGGTTTTTTCTTTTTTATTTCGGCCCAACTATTTACAACTATCTTATTCTTAGTTCGATTAAAAACAGGTTGTAAAACCATTTTAAAACACGTTATAAACTTTTAAAACACACTGTAGATCTTTGAAAAATATATTATAAAACTAAAATTACCTTGCAAAATTTTGAAAAATCTTTTAAAAACTTGAAAATACTTTGTAAAACACTTGTAAATTTAAAGAATCATGAAAATTTTGATAAAAATATAAATAAGATGGTTTTATTTTCATAAGCTTATAAACATTGTAAAACCTTAAAAGTTCTTTCTATATATAATCATATACATTGTAAAAACATTAAAAACATGTTGTAAACTTTAACATAATATTCACATATAGCATAAAAAACTTTAAAATACTTTGTAAAACATTCAATTCAATATTCACAAATAAAATAGATAAATCTTGTAAAACTTTCTCAAATCTTTTAAAACATTTGCATAAACTTTAAAAATACGGTGTAAACACTGTCACATAGCTTGTAAAATGTTTAGATAGCTTGTAAAACTTAACATCAAAAGATAAAATGGTATAAATGAAGACTGGATGTTATAGATGCAGGTACATAGAAAAAAAAACTTAAATTCACAACTAGAGAGTTATACAAAGTAAAATTCATGGGAAAATCACTACAGATATTCTCAGCAAAAATTAAAAATTTGTAAAACAGCAACGTTTTCTTCAAAAAGAACAGATCATTTTTCCCCAGCAATCTTTTCTTCCCAGCTCTTACAATTAGCCCCTAATCAAAGTAATAAATCAAGAAATATAAGCTTAGTTGTAGGTTTCTAATTTACATGTTAAAACCTGAGAGAAGTCTTACCTAGAAATCTGTTATTTCTGTAAAGATGTCAACCGCAAGTTTCTTTCTCATGTCTCCAATTTTTCCTTCTGAAAGTTTCTCATTTGCATTAATATGCATAGCATAGCATTCCATCATCTTCATCATGTACATCCCAGTATCTTCAATCTTTTCAGCCTAGCATCAAAAACAAAAAAAAACAAAAAAGACATATAAAAAAGGTTTTAATGAATACAATCTACAATCTCACTTATCACAAAATTTACCTGTGATATATTGTCCACTACAGATATTTTGAATGCAGAAACATCCATATCTGTTTTGTTGAGGAGCTTGCGCAAAATGTACGGCATCGCAACAGAATATGCAACCACATGCATCCTTTTAACATTTTCTGAAACAAATGGTGTCGCGTAATCGAGAATGATCAAAGACCTTCTCTCGATATTGATCACTACTGGAACCCAACAATTTCCTTTCAAGCACATAGGAGCATATATGTAATTTGTCTTGCTTCCAATCTCCAGCTTACTTATCTCTTCAGAACTAAACTGAAAATTATCTTTTGCGAGTACAAACTCAGCATACTCATAGTCAATCGCATTTAAGAAAGATGATCCAACAAAAACAACAGTTTTGTAAAGGTACATTTCTGGATGATTTTTCCTTCTAGTTTTGATCAAGTGTAAAGCTGCATCAACATACTAAGAAAAACACACACAAAAAGGAAAACAAATTACTCATGTTTGCTAGTCTATATGAACTTTAAAATTTACAATGGTTTTTTAAAGTTTTACAAGATTAGAATACTTGAAAGAAAATCATACATACCGATCCTGATATTGGTTTTCCCTGCGTTTCTAGTGTTGTGAACCATTTGGAATCTACTTTGATTCCCCCAACTGTTAGCACCCTACAACAAATATATATATATATATATATATATATATATATATATATATATATATATATATATATATATATAATTATAAGAACATCCAATGAGTCAATGTACATCCAATGAGGCAATGTAAAATCTTTAAAATACGTTGTAAAATCATTTTAAAATACATTGTAAAAATCAGAGATGATGTAAAACCTTTATAATACGTTATGAATATTATTTTGAGTTTTACAAACTTAAAACTCACTTGTTTTTCGTCATCTTCTTCCATTCACATAAACTTTCAAACCTTTTTGTGTCAACTTTTGCAAAGGGATGAAGTGTTGGGTGGCTGAGAATAAATGGAAGGCACTTGACTTTGCTGGCTTCTTCTTGATGGACCATCAACTTCTGATTTATTATCTACATCTTGTTGACTAGTTTTTAGTGGAACATCATTATCAGCTTTATCCCCTAATTCTTGATCACATGTTCTTGCTGACTTTGTCAGTATTTTTGCATTTTTTTCTCTGAGGCTGCAAACAAAAAAACAAAATAACACTTATAAAAACAACTTGTAAAAATTTCAAACAATGCCACGAATACTCAGTTTAAAACAATGCATTCCTTGTGAAGTAATAAAAGACATTACAATTTGTAAAACTTGTAATGTCTTTGCTTATATATGTACAAAAGAAATGCAACAATGCATTCCTTGTGAAATTAGTTTATAAAAACGAACAGATTGTTTTACAAAATTGAATTCTTACCTGTTTTCTTGTAGGAATATCATTATAAGAATTATCCCCTTGTTTACGCTTATTTGTCTGCAGGTGAAAAAAGTAAAAAAAAAGTCCCCTGTAAGTACTTTGAATATATTTCATTATAAACATTTAAAACATATCTCTAAATTGACCTTCATTTTGTAAGAAATCTTCTTTTATAATATTGAATACTAACCTCTTTTCTTTCTCTGACATATCTCTTCTTTCTACAGTACTTCTTACTTTCAGAACTTTTCTTACATGCCTCATTGTTTGTTTCAGAAACTGAAATTCCTTCCTTCTCCTTATCCTTACCCTTATTTGCACTACTCTCACCTACCTTTTTGTTATTGGAGACATCTTTCCCACAATCCTGACTATCTTGAGAGATAATATTGAAATTTGGAGTAGAGAAATTTGGGGTAGGGGTTTTATCCTATAAAAGTGTTTATAACCATAGGATTAGTACCAAAAATGATTTTCAGATAATAATGAAATTTGGAGTAGAGAAATTTGGGGTAGGGGTTTTCAAAAAGTTGTTACACTTGTAAGATCTATATAAAATCTTTTAAAAACCCTTGTAAAACCCTTTAAAACACTTTAAAACCCCTTGTAAAATCCTTATAAAACCCTTGTAAAACATATTAACCCTTGTAAAACCGTTTAAAACACTTTAAAACCTCTTGTAAAACCATAGGATTAGTACCAAAAATGATACTCAGATATCAAGGACTTTTTAAACAAAAGTAGATCAATATACCTTTGTTGTAGGTTCAGTTGTATCATCTTCAGAACGAATCTTCTGGCTGTTTTCATCATCTTCAGCATAGCTCCCGTCCTCTGTGTTTGGCTCACGAATGGAATCTTCAAATGTACTAGGACCACATTCATCATCTTCTTTGTTATCACCATCGACATCAATATCACCATCTCTACTTGGACCACATTCATCACCTTCTCTGCTATCACCATCAACACCAATATCACCATCTATATTGGGACAAGCTTTGTCAGACTGCTACAGAATCAAAACAATCATATTCAGTAAACAAAAAACAATATGTAACAAAAAAGTTTGAATTACCTTTGTAATAACTTTTTAAAAAAACTTTGTAAATTATTTAAGATGAGTTATAAAAACTTTTTTAAAACATTCTGAATACTTGTAAAAAGCTATCCGAATTTTGATTGAAAAGGATTTAATAAAATTATTCACATACCTCTTCTGATCTGGCACATGTTTCTTCTTGTATATCAGACTGCAAAAAAAAAAGATACAGATATCTTAATATATACTATATACACATGTAACTGACAAAAAAAAAAAATCCCATTTAATTACCTCTTTTTCGCATCTCTCAGTCTCATCTTTTTCAAGACGGCTTTTAAGAACATATTCTATTACTGCAATCCTCCTGTTGAAGTCTTGAAGTAAATTTATGATCTTGTCGAGTTTCTCGCTGTCAGACAAGTTGTTATTCATTGTTTGTTCCCCTATTTCTTGTAATACAGTAAAAACATCAATAAATCCAGCACTCCAATCAGTTTCTTTGAGTCTGTATCCTTTTTAAACAAGACGAACAATTTCTTTGAAGTCTATGTCGTCTTCATGCGAACTAGCAACTAAATAGCTATATTCGTACGGGTTTCCAATCACTGTATTAACCTTGACCTGGCAAAAGAAAACAACTTATAAAACCTTTAAAAACTCTTGTAAAAATAAGATATATGTTAAAAATCAATCTTAAAACTAAGGAAATTAAAAGAGGGGATTCCACACTTACTGAGTTCATTTTTTTGACGACATCGACAACATGAGAAAATCTTGGTGTTTGAGTTGTTTCCCATTTCAAACACAAAGGATACTCAGATCTTGATGTAACACATTCTGTTGCAAACGCTGAGCCCAAAGATAGAACTGCGCTGAAGGCCCATAGTAGTATCGCCATTGTAAATCCCTTTACTTCATATGTGCCTTTTGCCCAAGTATTCTCATTTATCCGTTGGATGCTTGTAGCAAGAACCCTATATGCATGCTTGCCCCACGGTTGAGATGTGTAGATTGCGAATTCTGAAGCATGTACCAGTCTAGACAAAGGGATTTTCTCCAACGAACCTGGTGTAAAGAGAAAGGCTTCTGTCAAAATTACCATACCTAGACTCAGTTTCTCTTCAGCATCCAGTGGATGCAGCTGATTTGGTTCAAACAAACGTTTTTGGAGTTGTTCCAGCGTAAAATGCTCTTTCTGAGTCCAGAAATATGGAGCTTTTGATGGAGCTTTGCCTTTTCGAAGCATTTCACTATCAATCAGGTCACACTGAACACTTGTAAGTGAATACAAATTTGATATTAGAGTTTTATAAAAATTTGTAAAACACATTGTTAAATGTTTTTAAATACATTGTAAAACTTTTAAAACACATTGTAAATTGATTAAAAACTTACAAAACAAAACTAATTTAGATATACCTGTGGTAAGCAAGAATTCTCTCTCTGAGAATCGCATTGGCTGGGAGTCAAATGTGAACCAGAGATTCTTCTCCTTTAAAAGCAACCTTCGCTGCATCAAGAAGTGGAAAATCTTCCCCGAAAAATTAACTCCACTTCTTTTTGCTAGTTCAATAATAGGACCAAGGAAAGAGGCTTTAATTAGATTAAACTGTTCCTCCCCTAGTGCGAGCTCAACTTTTTTGACCAAATGCGTTTCGAAATGTTGAATAACAACAGCTCCAATGTTTGGTTCAAACCCGGGATTATATATACGGGGCGGTAGGTTAAGCACATCCAATGAGTCATTGTTAGACATCTGCGTAAAAACCAAGCATAAAAACCATATCCAGAAATGGAATAATGTCAAGAATGTTAAAAATTTAAAACGGTTGTAAATCACAAAAGGAATAATGTCAAGAATGTAAAAAATTTAAAACGGTTGTAAATCCAGAAAAGGAATAATGTCAAGAATGTAAAACATTTAAAACGGTTGTAAAATACAGTAAAAGAATAATTCAGCATTTAAGACCTTTTTAAAACGGTTGTAAAATACAGCAAATGAATAATTCAGCATTTAAGACCTTTACAAGTTAAGAACGAACCTTTAAAAAATGTTGTAAAATCCACAGTTAACGGTTATAAAATCAAGAAATGGAATAAATCAGAGAGGATATACCCTAAATCAAGCATTAAGAAGCATTTACAAGTTAAGAACGAACCTTTAAAAATGTTGTAAAATCTACAGTTCAAAATCGAGCAGTCAAATCAAGCGTTATCAGTCAATAATGAGATCAAAAAAGTTTCAAAAAGAGAAAACTTTCACAGAAACACTGAATCTAACCACAGAATCAAACCACCGAATCTAACTTCCAAAAGACAAACCTTTCAAAAAAGCTTCTAAAACATAATGAGGAATCTAACCTGGAATCGATGTGGGACAGATCGAAATAAAACACAGACGGAGACGGAGACGCTGAGAAATCAAAATCGAACAAAAACGCCGATCGAAATCGAACAGATCAAATCGAAAACGAACAACGAGATTTTACCACCGATAGAAAGCGAAATCGAAAGGAGACGCCGATCTGATATCGGAATCGAGATATCGGAATCGAGATCAGAAAATCGTCGCCGATCGAAATGAGAGAAAGAGAGAGAATGGTTGAGAGAACCGTGCAGATCTTAGGTTATGAAAGCAAGGGTACTTTGGTCATATTTGAATTAATTAAGGGGTATTTTTAAAAATGGCAAGCAAAAAGGGGCAATGTTAAAAAAGGGTGTATGAAACAGGGTATTATTAACAATTTCTCATATTTTTATAGTTTTATTATTATTTTAACATCTCATTTATTTTACATAATTCTTTTTTTTAATTAATTATAAGTAACATAAATATGCACTAAATGAATGTTTAGAGTGTATTTTAATGTTAAATAAATAATATTGCTTAGGTGGATGTTTATGTAGATGCTTAGCTGGATAGGCTAGATGGAGAGAATACTCTTTCATTATATATATAAGATTTTTATAGTTTTATTATTATTTTAACATCTCATTTATTTTACATAATTCTTTTTTTTATTAATTATAAGTAACATAAATATGCATTAAATGAATGTTTAGAGTGTATTTTAATGTTAAATAAATAATATTGTTTAGGTGGATGTTTATGTAGATGCTTAGCTGGATAGGTTAGATGGAGAGAATACTCTTTCATTATATATATAGATTTGTTACGGCGAGATATAAGGAATTGATATACTGTACCTTCACACGAAAAGTCATTGTTATTTCGCGACAGATTCTTATCCATGCAAATGGGCCAGATTGTGTTTTAGTAGTTTTATCATTTACAGAATAATCCAAATCTTTTGCAAAATTAAAAACGAATTGTTTCGCGTATGCGTAATAAACAAAGACGCAAACACCAAAAAATTGGCATAATATATAATTGTTTTTTAGATATTGTCTTAAAAATTCAATGAAGATAAGTCGACACGCATTAGTTTACATTTCATATTATTTTTATTTTTTGTTAAAGTTTACATTTCATATTTGACAAAGAAAAAAATATTATAAACTCGTTTGGGGTCATTTTCGCATAAAATGGCTACTCAAGGAGACCAACTTAACTTATAGGAGGATTACATTATGTATAATATTTGATGGACCGGGTGGATTAGGTGCACGTGATTGTGATTATAAAATTAATTCGCACGATTCACGCCACTTTGAATATACTCTTTTTTTTGTCAACCCAATTTGATATATATACAATCATACATATTACATCAAAGATATATAAAATGTAACACGCCAATTACAAAATTCAGTGCCGGTGATGCGTGCCAATGGTGATAATGGTTGTCATGACTAATATTAATATTCCTTTGATCAAAAAAAAAAAAAAAAAAAAAAAAAAAAAAGACTAATATTAATATTCTTTTTCCATACTTAATAATACGATTATAAACATGTTTTATTTATGTGAAAATGCTCTTAAGTTTCCGGGATGGAAAAAATATCTATAATCATTTTATTTTTTCTAGATTCAGAACGAGAATTATCAAGTCTTATAATGGACAAAGTCGACCCTTAGATATAATGTTTGAATATTATAATAAACATATAGGAAATATAAAGTTTAAAATTATTCATATATCATCGAGTACGTAAGACCGATTAATAAATAAGCAAGCTGCGTGATACTTAGTTGGCTTGTCCGATAAAAAATCGAAACGGGATGATAAAATAGTAAGAGATAAGACCAATGGCAAACGTGATATGATAAATGCTTAGACCATGCGCAGTGGCAACACATTTGCCCGGATGTGAGTAATAAAAAAACCTAAAATATTAGAATTGAGTGTGTAGAAATGAGAAACGGGTGTTAAGTTGCAAGTTGTATGCATCGGATGTAAAGTCCACGTGGCAAGATTTGAGTGGATGGAAAAATTAGAAAAAGAAATCTCTCTCTATATCTCTCCTCTCTTTCTGTCCGCCTGTCAATTCTCCTCCTCTCTCTTCAATAAATTTTATAATAAATCTATTATTAACATCTATCCTCATGGTTTTGCCACTGCTGATGCTCTTAGATAGTGGGTACTGCAGCTTTATTCTAAGAAAATTTAGTAGTATTTTCATTGGATATATAATGTGTATATATTGATATAAGAAAATAATCTATAATGTGACAAGAAAAGAAGAAGAGGAAAGACAAAATAATATATCTACTTTTTTTATAGGAATAATATAGGGATTATTGTCTAAAATGCAACTTGTTTGGAAAAAATTTACGAAAATGCCATTTTTTGAATAGTTTATAGATTATGCCATTTTTAACACTTCAAAATGTACGTAGTTATGATTTTTTTTACAAAAATACGTACTTTATACAAAATACTAAACTCTAAGAACAAATGGAACCGACTAAACCCAAATATAACAAGTGAAACGCATGTTAAATCATATTTTTGGAGCCTGAAAAAGGGCAAAATCCATAAACTATTCAAAAAATAGCAAAATCCACAAATGCCACTATGAAAAAGGGCAAAATCCGTAATTAATTCAATAATATATCTACTTATTATGCGTAGGGCAACAACCCAACATACTTGTTCCTACCACAAGTACCACGTTTTGGCCAAGTTGTTATTGTAACATCCCAGTTTCAGAAATATAGTGGTGCATACGGAGAAATTTAAAAAAAAAAAAAAAAAAAATTAGGATTTAAAAAAATTGATTTGGCCACATATGTCACTAAAGTGCACTTATCTTTTCGGTCAAACGTCCAGAGAGAACTCCACAGTTAAACGTGCTTGAGCTGGAGCAATTTCAAGATGGGTGACCTTCCGGAAGTGATTGTCGGAACTGTGTGAGTGAGGACAAAACACAGGGAAAGATCATGTGGTGATTTGTAGGGTCGGTAAACAAGTCTTTAAAGCCTCCTGGACGTAGCGGACCGGCCATCGGACAGGGGTGGACTCATGGGTCCGAGAGAGGACGTGGGGCCCACTAGTAGGGACGGTCGGAGCGTTACAATTCACCCCCCACTAACATATAGCAACGTCCTCGTTGCGCACCAAGACCGTCACCCCCGACGGTGTGAGCCTTCTTGACTCCACACTCGTCTGGGTTCGGCTCTGATACCACTTGTAACGCCCCGACCATCCCTACCTGTGGGCACCACTTCCTCTCTCGGGCCCATGGGCCCATCCATGTCCAACGACCGATCCACTACGTCCGAGAGGCTTTAAAGACTTGTTTACCGACCATACAAATCACCACATGATCTATCCTTGTGTTTTGTCCTCACTCACACAGTTCCGGCAATCACTTCTCGGAAGGTCACCCATCCTGAAACTACTCCAGCCCAAACACGTTTAACTGTGGAGTTCTCTCATGACGGTTGACCGAAAAGATAAGTGCACTTTGGTGACATAGGTGGCCAAATCAATTCTTTTAAACCTCTCCGTATGTACCACTATATTTTTGAAACCGGGGTGTTACAGTTATTTTCACACCAGAAAGAGGTTGAATATTTGATGACAATAGATGAAGTAAAACGAAGTTTGACCCAAAAAAAAAGAAAGAGAGTAAAAAATAAAAAATAATAATAGTTCTAACTACAGTCTACAGTAGTTTGTAAAAACAAAAGACAAAATATATGATTTTTTTTACTATGGCTATATTAAGAAAACTATCTCTACTATATATGTTAAGATATAGATTTAATACTTGTACTTGCAAATTAATGTGTGACCATTTTGTCATGTGCATTTTGATTCAGATGATTTAAGTTACAAAGGAACCTGCTCAGTGTTCACCCACAAAATTACTAAGGGTCTGACTGGAGCGGTTTTACAGAAGAAAATTTTCTTCCCAATTCTTCTGGCCCCACATTTTTTCTTTTTTGTTATCAAAGTAAAATGAAAAAAGTAAGGTAAAAGTTTTCTTCTCATATTTAGCAGAAGAACGTTTTCTTCCCAAAATCTGCTTTTACTTTGATAACAAAAAAAAAATATGTGGGGCCAGATGAATTGGGAAGAAAACCTTTTCTTCGGTAAAACGCACCAGTCAGACCCTAAGACATATCAACAAACCTTGATACCCGGCCCAATGCTACATTTATAAGAGAATTTTGTTTTCTTATGGCCATTCACAGAAGAAAAAAACAATTTAGATGTCTTTTTTTTTTGCTTGTTTGCAATTTTTGTATTCATAAATATTGAGATTTTTATCTATTAAAAATAGATTATTTGTATAAAAATTGTTTGAGGGACAATTTTATTTTTCTTCTAAGATTGTAAATATTTCATTAGAAAAATGAAAACATTTAGGAGTTACACGAAGTAAATCCTACAGTTTGGTCCCATGACAAAAAAGAATAAAAACATGGAAGCAAAAACAATCAGTCCGTCGACATCAACAAAAACAGTGACGCTTTCAGAATCAATGAAGTGATAACTGATTCTGAAGTTTTCTTCTAGAAGACACCTAAAGGAAGAAGCAACAAGTTATCAAACGGAAGTGGTCGAAACATTAAAAACTCAATCGAAAGAAAGCTTTTCACCGGAAGCCCGTGAAAATTGAGCTATCAACGGGTTCGAGCAAAGAGCACTCGATCACCGACTCCACCCGCGCCACGTGAGAGCGGTTCTTTGAACTATCCATGAACTCTCTCAGAATAGAATCACACGAACCAAACGAAACAAAAACACTAGCTCACTCTACCAAATTCATTCTCCGAGGTCGGCTAGCACAGAGCAAATGCCAATAATACAAAACAGCGCTTTAATTCCGAGAGGTCTTACTAGCTCCTCCAATCACCAAGTAAGCTAATCCACAAACCAAAGCACAAGCCAACAAAACCTCTACTCCACTAGAGGCAGCAAACATTACAGCACAACAAAACCAAAGCTAAGTAACATCAAGGCGGTCTGAGCAGATAAACGGAAAAACAAGAGCTCGAAGAGTAAACCAATAACAGAATCAATTAAACTTCGAGATAGGAGATGCTCCTAAGCAGCTAAGCTGGCCGAGACCAAACGCTCGAAGTCCAACAACACACACCCACCACAATCACATCCATGACGAGATCCAA